ATAAGCTACATGAGCATCATGAATACGAAAAGAGGGAGCTGAATATAGTGGTAGAAGCCTAGTTACAACGAGCCTCATTAGAAAATGTAGCCAATCCAATAATACCAAGTGCTGATGCACTCCTTCGCCCATTGCACCTTCTGGAAGGTCACCAGTGGTGACGTCGGTGATAATGACTGCATATAGCGAGTCGCGCAGCAGTAGTGCTGTCAATCTCGCAGCCTGGTTAAGAATTAACCTGTCTGTCGCAAGTGCCGCGATCAATTTCTTGACGCAGTGGCCCGTTGCCTCCAGATCAACCCTCGTCAACCCATTCACAAAACCCAACTCCCCCGCCTCGACGACGACAAATTTGGCACCGCCCCAACTTATATCCAACGAAACTAAAGGCTTGCCGCTGTCGAGCTAGGGCCACCGGAACTCAGGGATTATCTGGACTTCGAGCCCAACTGATTTTGGGTATTATCGGGTGGAAGTGAACTTGATCGGCCGCTGAGGGTTAGAGTGACCATCCTCTCTGATAGGTACCTCGTTTAACACGACGCCGCAGGGAGCAATCGCAAGGTCGTAACCTGCCTAGTCGAATCTACCTCAAGTCTATGCCGCTTGGGGAGATGTCATGATAGTAGGTGTCAACCAGGAAGTGCCCTAGGGCCCTAGGTTCGAGCATCAGCCGCCGCCGCACATTGTCGTGCTCGTTACGTGCCTGGGCACGCTGCTCAAGAAGAGTGCCCGAAACCTCCGGAAACCCTTTGTAGAGGATCCGAGCGGGCTCGCCTGTGATGTGCATGTCGATGCGTTCGAGCGTTTCTCGTGGCTGCTGCGCTGCGAGCCTGAGTCGCTGTGTAAGTGACATGGCTACGGACGAGCTTGCTAAGCATGTGCTGCTAAGTGTTTGAAGAGAGACGAGCAACTTCTGTCAACAGAGAGTAAAATGTCCTCCCGGCCATCGCCTGTCGTGTTGAATGGAGAGTTACAACCATTGGGTCGGATCGGTCCACCACAATGGGTTATACTTATTGATCAGCATCCAAGCAGTGTAGTCTCTAGACTCCAGACTGGTAGACTTTGCCGCCACAACGAGCAAGTACCCGCCCCTTGACGAACGCTAGGCCAGTTTCATGTCGGAATAACTGGCCGAGGGGTCTCATGTCATAGCTTGCTCAATGCACGAATTGAAGAATTTCCCGTCGGGGCTCCTGCCTTTAGGAAGCTCTTCTCTGAGACTTGTTGCGGTGAGTTTACATTCGCTAAGAGGAATCCCTGAGTCCTCCCTGAGATAACCTACCGCGTGTAGATAAAGAAGGAAGATATCGAGAACATAGTCTAAGACCAGGGTGCATGGTTTATGTATAGCCGCTATTAAGAGGACCATAGACATTCTAAGGCTATATGTATTTATGTAGATATAAGCGGCCGGATCTAGACTATCTGCAATACCAAGCAGGGTGCAGAGCCAGGTGCTCAGAGGTAACCCGGCTGGTTTGATCGGTTACTGAGTCAGTTTCCATGTGGTGGATTCATTAGACAAAAGCTCACCTAGATTGTAGTACACGTATAACATCGCTGTCGAATGTGAACGACACAGGATGGCCTCGACATTGTGGCGTGCCAAAAGGGTCCCCAGCAGCATGGTCCTTGACTCCTGCTGCTGAATGCTGTTCGGTACTTCGTACGAATTCTCACGCAGTCGTCCTTGCACTTCTCTGAGTATCTCGCAGATGGCTTGATTGGTCACCGGCTCATCGGTCACTTGTGTGAGCAAATCACCTACACTGTCGCGAACAGTGCCAAGCCAGACTGCGACCTTCTTGAGTGCCAGATTTCGACATTAGAAACAACCCCGCACTTCAACTCTCCCAAGTCCGAACTTTGACTCGACAAACCACCGTCTTCACATATTCTCCTCAAGGCTATGTCTAATATCCTATACAAGTGCGATGACCTTCGGATCCCAGCCTCCAGCTCCAGCATCAACAAAGAACCAAGATCTGCTTCGACTCTTATCCCTCTCGCTATCAGTACTCCCTTGTCCAAAAACCAAACATGCCAAACTTCATATGGCTTCAGAATCTACCCAAAGTGAAGTCATCATACGCAGGCATTGGTGCTTACACTCCCAGCATATTCATACAAATACTACTTCAAACTTTCAGATCCCCTAAGTTCTATTCACCATACTCGACTGGCAGCAGAATGCGCAGGTGGTGGTGCTTACACTCCTCCAACCCCTCCTAGCCTAAATTCTATTCTGTTACTTCCAACCTTGCACTTCGCCCAAGCACGTCTTGCTCTTCCGATTTGTGTTCACACCCAAGTGGTACTCACCTGAACCTAAACCTAAACCTGAGTCATTCTACCTCTGATTTCATATTTCCAAGTGCCTCTACTAACTCTGTAGAGCATGGCCACAAGATGGCTCCGACGACCAACCCCTTATCCCTGTTCGACGTGCCAAGGCCGTCAAGTTCAGCCGCCCCTCCATCTTCTGGTCTCCGAAGGTCTGCTCGTGGCCAAGATCCTGTCAATTACGCTCCTGCTCCACTTATCTGTCGACAATGACTTGACTGAGGAGGAAGTCTTTAAAGACGAGGATGAAGATGAAGATCTTCCTATCAATGCCAATCATCTCATACAGGGACGACCGGGTGAAGCATCCGGAATCAGACCCACAAACTAAATTTAGATACAAAGTGAAATAAAATGAGTTCAAGCTGAGTCAAATTTGAGAAAGCTTTTAGGGTATTAGATGAACTTAGAAACATAAAACTTGTATGTAGAATCTAAACATGAGGAGAAAGCTAATCGAACGCTGTGGTACATATACACGATTGTAAATAACAGCATTCCTGTGCCCGTGTATGTAGCTGAAATTGAGCGATATCTCGTTCAATTATAATGTCGGCATCGGCAATTGAGACATCGCAAGATGAGACATGAGCCATCATCTTCAATCCACGATCCAAAATTATCCCCACAGTTGCGGCACCATTCGTGGTTTTGAACAGTATCGATTAGTTTGGTAATCTTATTGTTCGCCGCGTGTTCGCGGCCCATAAACGCAATTGCATTTTGCTTCGCTACATCTCGCTCTGCCTTGAAGCTGTTAGATCTCTTCAGCTCCTCCGAATACTGGGTTTCCAGTCGTAGCTTTTGGGCGGCGTAAACTTCAGCTTTCTTGTTTGCAGCCGCAAGAGTCTCGGCCTTCAGTTTGTTCTCGGCAATGAGCCTTGCAACCTCTTTCTGCTCGTCCTCAAGAGCTTTCTTCAGATCATCTCGCTTGCGGGCAAGGACGCTGGCGTCGCTGTTTTTCTCAAGTTCAAGTGCGAGACTCAGGTCTTCGTTCGATTTGGTCAGAGTTATGACCTTTTCCCTTTCTTGGTCCCAACGTTTTCTCAGTAACGCACGCTCAGAGCTAGCGACTCTTAACTCTCTTTCAGCTGCTTCCTGGGCCTTGGATTTCTCTTCGAGCTTTTTGGCGTATTCGGTGACTTTGCCCTCCGCCGCCCTGAGGTCTTGATCGACCAGTTGGCGTCCAGAGGTAATAGCCGAGATTTCCTTCCGAAGTTGATTATTCTTAGCAGTGTACGCCGTGAGTTCATTCTGTAACTCGACTCGGGCGGCGGAAGCTTCTGCAAGCTCACGAGTAGACTGAGATGCCTTCTGTTCCTCGCCCTTCATACGTTGCTGTAGCAGTTGGTGCGCGGAGGAGAGGTCAGTGACGCTCTGGCGTAGTCGGTCGTTCTCAGACGTAACGGCCGCGAGCTGCTTCTTAAAATCGGTTTGTTGAACTTCTAACCTCTCTTTGAAGTCAATATCACACTGCTCCTCACTGACAACCTTATCCTGGACGCGTTGCTGGAGCTGGTCACGCTCAGAAGAAATTTCCGCTACTCTTTGACAAAGCTCTTTGTTCTCAGATAAGGTAGCTGCAAGCTGTTGCTGAAGATCGTCACGTTCGGATGAGGTTGTTGACACTTGCCCCCTGAGCTCTTGAAGTTTGGCTGAACTATCGGCCTCGGCAGTCGTTTGTGGAAGTGTGGAAGAAACTCGAAAAGTGCTGTGAAAGCTTCGCAGCATCGTAGAATGATCGAACTCTGGTGAGATGATCAGGGAATCCAAGTGCTCTCTGGACTTGGCAACCAGCAGGCGTTGCAAGTATGGATCCTTCGAGCTCAAGGCGACAGTGACAGTATCGAGAAATGCGGAATCGAACCAATAATGGTCCAAAGTCGGTGCGATGTGGGATCTCGTGAGCTGGGAGAGTTTCGGAATCTCAAAATGAGCGCTGATGGCGTTGACTCGTGCATGGCTTATCAAGAGATCCCTGGTGTAGTGTTCGGGGATAGGCTGGCCAACTAAAGATGATTAGTGCACTACAAAGAAATAAGGATATAACATACTGGCCGATATCACACTTGGAAAGTTATCAGCGTTTACCCCGTAATTCCCAGTCTCGAGATACTGAGCCAAGCATTGGACAGTAGGGAAGTCGAACTCAGTGACAGGAATAATCGTAGCATTCTTGAGTGTGAGAGCACCGGCAAGCACAGGAGAATGTACTTTAGCCACCGATTTAGGGACACTGATTTCGAAATCTTGACCTGCAAAGGTGAGTAATGGAGGGTTTTGGCCATCCATATTGTGAGGTTGCAGCTAGACACAGATTGAGTGAAGGGAAGAGATTACGAGGAGAAGAAAAAGAAAGATGTTGCGCTTGAGGAGAAGCATAAAGTGGGGCGTGCGTTGCTTCACTGCTGATAAAAAGATATCAATCAAGGCAAGGATACGAGGATTCATCAGCCGGATTAGTCGACGGTTACTGTGATAACAGTTGACTGTATTAATGAAAGAAATTACAGAGGTTGTACAGGTTCATTTGCTGGTGAGTGTTGAATGACGGAAAGTGGCCCCATGCTGCATCGACCAGAGATCAGTGCCAGTGCTGGATGATTATCAAGAGCAACAAGAGGCAACAGGAGGAAATGCAAAAAGAGAAACCCCTGCTACTAGATTCGAACTAGCGACCTCCCAGTGCCCTTATTAAAGAGAAGAAAACCCTCCCGAGAGAGAAGTTTGGTTAGCTGGGTGTCTTACCACTAGACCAAGCAAGGTACGTCTTATGTTGAAGGCATGATCTATTGAATCAGTACATGTAGCCGAGTAGGTATGGCAGTAGGTTGCGCTCAGCAGGTTAAGTTCATTTTCTCCCCAAAATCCCTCCCATTTCTGCACAGGTGTTACAAACAGATGTTTGATCTGACTTGCTTGTATTCCACGCGATGATTATCAGAAATGACAGGAAGAAGAGCAAAGAATAGATCCCCGGTTGCCAGGTTCGAACTAGCGACCTCCCAGTGCCCTTCTTTAAAGAGAAGAAAACGGTTCCCGAAGGAGTCGTTAAGCTAGCTGGGTGTCATACCACTTGACCAAGCCGGGCGCGTCTTATGTTGAACGCATGATCCGTTGAAATAGTACTTCTAGCCTACTAGTTAGTAGCTTTGCGCTCACCAGGCCGGTGCCTACTAAATAACTCCCATCTATGCCCCTTGTCCTTCCCTATCTACTACCCCTGAACAGGCGGGGGTCTTCCGCATCTCACCAGGAACCACTGAACTTCATGTACTCTCCAAAGTCCACCATGTTTTTGCACCGGTGCCACAGACCCCAAGATGATAGACGTTTGATTTGACATGCTCGCATTCGAAAGTCGTTAGCTAGCCCTTAATTGCCAGTGTTGACCGTAACGCTCTGAATTCAAAGCTGGCTATGATCAAAAGACAGGACCTGCCGGTTTCACATTTCTTACGGAACAGTTTCTGTCATACGATTTTACTGGTGTTTCTTTAGGATGGCTCGAGAAGCCCTACATTTCCCCGTGGATAAGACAAAGCTGATCTCAGAAGAAGGGTGGATGCGAGTCAAGAGAAGACTTCTCTAGAGTGAAGCGAAGTGGTAACAGATTAGGGGCTAGGCAGCAGCCTTTCCACCAGAACCTTCTCTCACAGGTAGGAACCGCTACAAAAATTGCCCTGGAAGGATCTCTAGGTTACATAGCCTAATTCATTGCATCATCCCTCAACAAAAACTTCCCCGGTGTAGTATAGTGGTCTAGTACCCCTGAGTGTACCCTTTCGAGGGATACTTTGCTACAGAGTGGCCAGGCAACATGGGTTCAAATCCCGTCATCGGGAGTCTTTTTTTTCTATTATTGCCTTTTACATTATATTATGCCGAATCAATAAATTTATCTTGTTCCGGTGACATCTATGGGGCAGTGAGGAACATATTGTACATACACGTTGTTTGCACCACCTAAGCCGTATCGTGTTGGTCTATATCGCTCCTGCCCAGTTATTTGATCTCCGATGCATGTTGTTCCTGTAGATCTCTGCTTTCTTTCGCGCAAAGATCCCCATGTCGACTTTTCACGTAGCAGCATCTGAATCTTTCGGTAGTCTTGGCTACCATTCAAATATACATCGACAATCCTCCAAATGCTGAACAAAAACACTGAAAGGGATAGACCAGGTGATATGCGGCACAGACTTTGCAGGTGCTGTCATCGCGTGTGTTTGCTTAGCCTTCTGTGAGATTTTGTGAGTGCCTGAAGATTAGAAAGAGGTGGCATGTAGTTGAAAGTGGATCCGCCGGTGGAGCTGGGGGCGGATCACCTACCAGCATGGTCGCCTGATCGCCAACCACGAGAGAAACTTTACTCGCATTGCATCCTATAATCTCCTGCTTGGTCTTATCGCATAAAGGATGGAAACAATCTTGTGAACTAAGTCTCCCTGACTGAGAAAAGGACTCCAGAATCTCCACGATCGCTCATGTCTGAAAACTCCATGACGGTTGTGGGTACCACACCAGCTTCAATACGCAGAGGCTCAGAGTTGCTGAAGAGAGAAATGAGAAAATAGAAAGTGAGTAGCAGAAACCCAAACGCAAGTAAGCATCATGAGGTGTAGTCAATCCCATAATATCAAGTGCTGATGTTGTGAAACACAGAGTCAAGTTGGTCTACAGATACGAGCCAAGCATATGATCCCTCAACACCATCATGCTTGTAGGGTCTGCTTGTCAGTCGGCCATAGCAAACAATATACGACAAACATACCAACCTCAACTGAGGGAAAGGGGGTAAAAGGAAATATGATCTATGTTGCAAGAGTCAAACCCACACCCTCCCGAGCCCCAGTTCCCCCTATATACCATCTCAACCCCTGGGTTTGCAGGGAGAGCAGCGGGATCAAAAGAAGAATTACGGGACTCTGTCACTGTTCAACGCTGATAAGTGGTTCGTATCGTTTGGGTAGAGATTCAGGCGGATGAGAGCCAAAGGGCTTCGCAAGATTCGGATGCTTATGGCATGATTTCAAGCTCTTTGATGGTGTCAACTGCTGCCGTCTCCTTTGAGATGTCCTAATAGTGCAGTTGTTGTTTTTCATCGCGTTAGCCTGTGTTTATAAGAGCGATCGTCAAGAAGAATGGAGACTCCAACTGCAAAGGAGGTGAGACTTGGAAGTGATTTCTGGGGATGAAAACGAATGAGCTCCACTGATCTATCGAGGAGTGCGAGGCTCTCTACTTACGGCGGCCGTAATTCTGACTGATCTGGATCTGAAAGAAAAGGAAGTTCAGCCCCAACGTGTTGGTCTGAACTCGTCTGTGCGAATGCGGCAAATGATTTTGCCTTCAACTCAGAATTAACGACCGGTAGCAACGATGGGCCTGCAATCACCGAGACTTCACAGTCTAGTTAGGATTGGATACTCAGGTTGGATGAGAAAGACTCACAAGAGGGCTTACGTGTTGGACTTCTTTTTCATTTTGTTCATCTTCGATGATTGTGCCACCATGGTGAGCCATGGGATACGCTCGAACAACTAGAAAAGAATAACAAAACAAGCTAGGGAGAAGAATGATTCTCCAAACAATTCTCAACTTACACTGTGCTCTAATCATGATGCGGGGGGACAGCGAAGTTGTATGCTTACTGTTGAGATATGGAAGACCTTGTTGCAGGTAGCATGGGTGGTGAAGGAGAAGCAGTATAGGAGCTACCTACCTTTCCTACCTAGGCGGGCGCGGTACTGGGTTAAGGACTACTTCAGGACTTCCATAGTTACTACCTAAGCTCCTAGGCTACATATACTGATTCAACTCAATCTCCCTTCAACATAAGACGTGCCCGGTTTGGTCTAGTGGTCAAGGCACCCAGCCCAACGATTCCTTAGGGTTTCGTTTCCATATGTTAACGATGGGGTTGGGTCACATCGGTTCGAATCCGGTAACCGGGAACATATTTCTTTTTTCTCTTCTCAATTTTGACACTCATCCGGCACTGGCACTAACTGACCCCTTACCGACGTTCCATGTGGTTGTCTATTTGTCGTTTGACTTTTGGCAACAACGAGTTAGTCTATCTTACCGATGTAACTTCTTAGAATGCTATATCAAAGTGGAATTATCGTCAGTCTGACTCGATTTAGGTAACAGGTCCTCCTATCCTTGATATCCTTTTATCGGGTGTGAATCAATCACATATTGCCCCCATCCCCCCTTTATGCTCTTTTCTTAACCGCAATGACAATTACAACTTCTTTCCTTTTCTCTCTTCCTTATTTCTTTCCCAGTATTTAAGCCAGAAGGCTTTCCCAAGGAAAAAGGGGTAACTCTCATTCGAGAACTTGGTGTGAATTCCTGAAGCTTTCACGTCCCAGGCTGTTGAATCCCCTGATTCGCCCCTCAGGTTTGTGGAGGAAATCCCTGTGTTGAACAAAGCGATAAAATACTGGGATTGCAAATTTGTTTGTTCTTTGCCAAACTCATTTCATATGCCATGTCAGCCAGTTGCTTAGATTGTTCGGCACTGACCACCACGATTGGTTCGCTCGCTACTAGGCAACAGCAAGAATTTCAGAGTAGAATGTGAATTTGTCTGTGGGGACGCATTGCGGCTCGATGGATGAATTCTGTTTCTCCTGTGCCACAGACCGTGCGTGTGCCTTTTCCCACTTAATATCTCCACGACTTGCCATCTGGTAAATATTGCCTCCACGGCGGTTGACGTGCCGACAAATGGACCAAAAGTCGTTTCGTTTACAGCGCGCGAGAGTTTAAACCTCCCCACTTCCGATAACTGAGCTGACGTACATGGACTTCTGTCAATACCTCTTAATGATCGTTGACAAACGCTAGATCAAAGTCCGAGCCTTCAACGTTCTCGCCGAGCAGGGATACTGAATCAGAGTCGAGCCGTTTCCTTCACCATGCGTCAAAATGCGAAATCAGAATCAAGCTATTATATTCTTCACCGAGAGGTGAAGAAGCCGGATCAGAACTCGCCATTGCTGGTGTACGATGTTCAAAATGGTCAGCAATAGTCGATAGCCACTCTCATCTGCTGTCGCTACTGTTGGCAGATATTGCTTGAGAACCGCACCACAAACAAGGGAACTATCGCGGAATGGGAACGACTGAATAGTGACTTTATCCGTCTGGGGTTTGGGAACATCGTGGGCACACAACTGTGCCCCAACAGGAAGTCCAGAAGCCATCCCTACAACCAGTTCCGGCCACGGATGTGGCCGATACTTACCAGCCGAAAGAGACAAAGGACCTCTGGGACCCCGGATACCATCGGCTTCAAGCAAGTTGAACCCAAAAAGCTCGCCAGGGCCACACGGAACGTGGAAGCCATTCGGACACAGAACTCAGCCAACCTGGAGGCATTGGCCGAGTTCTGGTCATTCGTGCTGCTGATTGAGCCCGATAATCGACGTATCTACAACGAGGCTTAAGCATTCCATCGTGATCCGGGGAGCGTGGGAACCTGAATAGGATGCTTGAAGGTGCCAGAACGATGGAATGACTGATGGGGAAACCATTGGTTCGCGGGATGAATCCTTCCAACTTTGGGCCTGCGGGACCCCGATTCTCTGTCGTCCATAACAAACACAAACGATCAGCGCTCTACCACCAATTCAAGCCCAGTCATAGAGAACACCATGCCGTGTCAGCCTACAAACCAACTTTCACTTCTAGGGTAAAAGTCCTCTTGTAGCCTTTCAAGCGCCCAGCCGGATTTACGATACTGTTTCACTCTGTGATCATGGAGCATCTCGTACGGAACGAAACCACAGCTCAATATCACTCTCGAGGATGCCACGTTGCACCCTTTATCCCCGGGGAAATTCGTTTTACGAAGCATCGTCAAAAGCTTGACGATAGATGAGCCAAACTCCCACGTGGAGCGAGGGGCACAGCCAAGCATTTCTTGACAAGTATCAGCCTAAGCATACTGACAATACCCCCCTGTTTCTGCTCCCTTGGTGCGAGACAAAACCCTTCAAACAACAATTTGGCTCATTCAATTTCTAGAATCAGATTACCATCGTTGTTGGGGACACTGGGCCTTGAAAGACTGCCCAAACTACCCAGACCATTACAATTGACGAATGGCCACACAGGCATATTGGATGGAGCCAACCACGACAGCTTTCTGAAATCGGATTGGCTACCCGTGACTGATACGACAACGAGCGTCATGGTTCCAGTCATATTGAGTTGACCGTTTGCGAGCATTCTACGACTGTGACATGTACTTGAAGGAAAAGGGCGCGAACGGTGTCAGGCACTGGCAGGCAGCCGATAGCATTGATACGTTTTGTGAGAAGCGGATTCCTCACCAAACTTATATCAGGCAACCGCATGAAAGAGAAAAGTTGTTTGTTTACCTTATATGATTTACCCCGCATGCCTGAAGAGAAGAATCTCTGGGAACCAAGACCTACTCCTATCCTCACCACCACACAAACGAAAGATAGCAAGTCATTAAGTCTTCGAGAACCAGAACCTACACAAATATCAGCCTGAACGGAAGACCGCCAGAATGGAGGAGCCTCCGTGAGGCGAAACCCGAATAGGCACCAAAGAAAACCCTTTGTTGGTCAGCGACGACCGCGCATCTTCCGACGGAGCCAACACCCCATCATTCTTATACCATCCGGTGCCGGTATAACAGACCGAAGAGCTCTGGTGATGGACGAACCCCACGAATACCTGGCTCCTAGACGACACCCCAAACCTGATGGCTTTTTCTCCCCTCACAATCCTACACAGATGGGAAGCATCCCGCGCGACTCTATTGAGTGTGCTTGATGGGAGGCATTAATTTCAAGATAGAAGA